TAGTCATTGGCCAGCAGCATTGTAACTAATATAATGTGTGTTATTTGGGGGCTCTAAAGTGGAGGCAGAACCCAGGCAGCTGACAGAAAGAGTTATCATTACAATGCACAAAACTTAAGTCCAAATGGATCAAAGACTTCAACATAAATTCAGCCACACTGAACCTCTTAGAAGAGAAATTAGGAAATACCCTTGAATGAATTGGTACAGGAGAACGCTTCCTGAACATTATACCTGTAGCACTATTGGATTAAGGTCTCTTTATTTCCAAGCACAGCCGGGTGAAACACAGGCCAGAGCTAGGTTAAGAACCCAGCCAGCGCAGCCAGAACAAAGAGAGAGCCCGGTCCCCACGTGCAGTCCTTTAAGAAGCCCCCTTTACGTCATCCCGGCTTTCCTTCACCCCGCCCTTATGGGCGAGTCCCCAGGTCCACCTGGTACCTGCCCCAGGACTATTGGGCGGGGCTAGGGTGACTCCCTACAGTAGCACAGACACTGAGATTGAAAATTAATAAATGGGACCTCCTGAAACTGAAAAGCTTCTGTAAGGCAAAGGACACAGTCAGCAAGACAAAAAGATAATCCACAGAATGGGAAAAGATCTTTACCAACCCCACGTCTGACAGAGGGATGATCTCCAAAATATACAAAGTACTCAAGAAACTAGTCTCCAAAACACCAAATAATTCAATTTTAAAAATGGGGTACAGAACTAAATAGAGAATTCTCAATAGAGGAATCTCAAATGGCAGAAAGACACTTAAGAAACTGCCCAACATCCTTAGCCATCAGGGAAATGCAAATCAAAACAACTCTGAGATACCATTTTATACCAATCAGAATGGCTAAAATAAAAAACACCAATGACAGTTTATGTTGGAGAGGATGTGGAGAAAGGGGAACACTCCTCCACTGCTGGTGGGAGTGCCAACTTGTGCAGCCACTTTGGAAATCAGAATGGTGGTTTCTCAGGAAAATGGGAATCAGTCTACCTCAAGATCAAGTAATTCCACTCTTGGCATATATCCAAAGGATGCACATTCATACAACAAGGACATATGTTTAACTATGTTCATAGCAGCATTATTCATAATAGCCAGCACCTGGAAGCAACCTAGATGCCCCTCAACCGAAGAATGGATGGAAAAAATGTGGTACATTTACACAGTGGAGTACTACTCAGAAGAAAAAAAAAAGCAATGAAATCTTGAAATTGGCAGGTAAATGGATGGAACTAGAAGAAACCACCATCCTGAGTGAGGCAACCCAGACACAGAAAGACAAAGATGGCAAGTACTCATAAGCGGATATTAGACATAGAACAAAGGATAACCAGCCTACAATCTACAACCCCAGAGAAGCTTGTAAACAAGGAGGACCCTATGAGAGACATACATGGTCCCCTGGAGAAGGGAAAAGGGACAAGATCTCCTGAGCAAATTGGGAGCAAGTGGGGGAGTGGGGAGGGTGGGAGAAGAAAGAGGAGAGGAGAAGGGGGGAGGAGGAGAACATGAAGGATCGGGAAGGTCAAGTTGGGGGAAGAATAGAGAAGAGCCAAAAAAGAGATACCTTAATAGATGGAGCTATTGCAGGTTTAACGAGAAATCTGGCACTAAGGAAATCTCCAAGGATCCACAAGGATGACCCCAACTCAGAATCTAAGCAATAGTAGAGAAGCTACCTTAAATGCCCTTTCCCTATAATGAGATTGATGACTACCTTAAATGCTATCATAGAGCCTTCACCCAGTAGCAGACAGAAGCAGAAGCAGACATCCACAGATAAGCACTGAGCTTAACTCCTGGAATCCAGTTGTAGAGAGGGAGGAATGATGAACAAAGGGGTCAAGACCATGCTGGGAAAAACTCACAGAAGCAGCTGACCTGAGCAAGTGGGAGCTCAGGGACCCCAATCTGACAGCTGGGGAATCAGCATAGGACCAAACCAGGGCCCCTGAATGTGGGTGTCAGTTGGAGGGCCTGGGCATTCTATGGGGCCTCTGGCAGTGGAACCAATATTCATCTCTAATGTACGAATGGGCTTTGGGATCCCATTCTCTATGGAGGGATACTCTCTCAACCTAGATACACAGGGAGGGCCTAGGTCCTGCCCCAAATAATGTGACAAACTTTGCTGATCCTCTGTGGGAGGCCTCACTCTCCCTGGGGAGTGGATAGGGGATGGAATGGGGAGTTGGTGAGGAGAATGGGAGGGAGAGGGAACTGGGATTGGTATGTAAAATAAGATTGTTTCAATTAAATTAACATATATATGTTAATTGTATATAAATGTATATATGTATATAAAGTTTTCCTCTCTTTCCTTCTGGTCCCATACATTCAACTCATCTCACACTCTGTTTTACCTAAGATAAGGTTCTAATCCCTAAAAGCTGAACATTTACCTTCTGAAGAGACCAATTTGAATGCAAAGAGTCTGGTGAAATTATTGTTATATCTGCACTTGTGTCTACCAGACCTTCAATGACAACATCATCTATTTGTATTTTTAATTTTGGTCTTTGTTCATTTATAGTAGTTTGCCTCTGAATATTTTTTGTTCCAGAGCAGTATGGTTTCTTACAATAGGCATTTAGGTTCTTTAATTGCTTTGGGAAGGAATTTCCATGGGGACAGGAAATGACTGAACCAGATTTGGTTTGGCATATGGTCCTCTCAAGGAGTTTCCGGATGGCAAAGGGATACATTCTTTAGTCCAAGGCCTGCCTTTGCCACACTTTCTGTATAATCCAGAAGGGAGGGGCAGTCTTTTTGGATTATGCTTATAAAAACATTGCTTCTAGGAATGCCCTGTCTACAATCCCTTTTAAGGTGACCTTGTTTGCCACAATTGAAACACTTGACACTTTGATTTTTCTTCAAACCTCTGGAAATCACCTCTCCTATCCATGCATCATCATAGTCATGAGATTCAATATTGATTGTACCTCGGAACCATTCCTCTAAGTGTGCTGACCTTGCCTTTATCAGTCTAATTATCCTTTGCATTGAGAATTAGCATTTTCAAAAGCTAGAGATTCAATTATTATTTGCCTAGCTCCTGAATTTGGTATCATCCTATTTACTGCTGAAGTCAATCTTTGTAGAAATTCATTAAGATTTGTTTTGTGTCCTATATAACTTTAGTAAATGATTCAATTTTCTTTCTGACTTGTCCAATTATGTTCCAAGCATTCAAAGCTGCTGTGAGGCATAAAGCCAGGTATGGTAATCTTGTAGCAATTGTCTTTCTGTAGTAGCATAATCTCCTCTCCCAAGAAGTTAATCTTGGGAGATTTCCATACTGTTGTTCAATTGTCTTAGCCTCTTCTCTGAACCAGGTCCTTCACTGTAATTGTGGACCAGGCTGTAAAACAGCATTAACCAAGTCTAGCCAGTCTTTAAGGATAACTCTATTACAAACTGACCACGAGTTTGACATCTACCTCACAAATGGTGAATGCATGCCATATGAGACTGTTGTTTCCTTTAATCTCCTTAAATCTAACATTGGCACAGGAGTCCAATCAGCTCTTACAGAGCCTCTGTCATTTGGCAACTCCTTTAAGGTTACTGGATAAATTAAGGTTGGTTATTTGAAAACCTTAAGCTGTTCCTTTCTAATCTTATAATACAGTGCTGAGATTGGTTCTCCTATAAATTCCTCTGTCTGGGTCAGAATACCTCTATGACCTGCTTTAGTAAGTTTTTCTAAGGCCTGCATCTTGGCACGAATATCAACCAACTTTTTTAGAGATCAATCAAAAATTATTAAACTGACAACAAAGATTATAAAAATGATAATTAACAATATGTCAATCCCAGTTAATCAACTTCATTTAATTGTTCCAATTTTAAACCACCCATCGTGTAATCATACAGAGATCTAACTCTTTCCATTGTAACAGTGTTTCCCATTTTTTAATGTGGGGAAAATAAAACCCTCTCTCAACTAATTCCACAAGAATTCCCAGCTGGGCATTGGTGGTGCACACCTTTAATCCCCAGCACTTGAGAGGCAGACGCAGGTGAATCTCAATGAGTTCAAGGCCAGCCTGGCCTACAGACAGCTAAGACTGTTAACACAGAATAACCCTGATTTGTTTTATCCTACAGCTCATGCTGCTTTGCTCCCCCCCCATTTTTTGTATTTAAATTAGAAATAAGCTTGTTTTACATATCAATCCCAGCTCCCTCTCCCTCCCCTCTTCCCCTGCCCCCCAACGACCTCCTATCCCATCCCCTTTCTGCTCCCCAGGGGGGGTGAGGCCTTCCATGGGGGATCTCCAAAAGTCTGTCATATCATTTGGAGTAGGACCTAGACCCTCGATGCTTTGCTTTTTAAAAAATGTAAGCAGAGTGCTGACCCCGGAATCTGTGGGAAAATAACTAGAGAAGTGTGGAGGAGGCGTTGAGATGTCAAAGACCTATTGGAATCTCTTGCAGCAACATGGACAACCAAATGAAGTTTTGAGTGGACTGGAGACAGAGTGGGCTCAGTTTGATAACCAGCATAGATATAGGAGCAAAATGACTCCCAAGGTGCAGCCCTGGATACAGGACGGTGGGGTTGCTAGTGACCCCTCTCTAAGACAACCCTCTGCTCTAGCTTACTCCAGTGTCCCCATTCCTGCTGCTTTGCTTTCTCTTCTTCTCTCTCTTGCTAACTCTGAACCCCACAGGAAAAAAGAATACACCAAATTTTGCTTGGGGTGGTGGTAGCATCACCTGACCTGGGAGTGGCTTAGTAGACCAATATTGTAAACACCTGGAGCAGTCAGTGAGGCACTCATGGGTTTGGTGGAGGTAGCAAAGAGACAGCCCTTGTTTCAGCAGTGAGGTTCAGATTTTATATTTTTTTTCTTGTTGATTGGTGTGACTGCAGATTTTATCTAGTAGTGGTGAAGTTAAATCTATTTCCCTTGATTCTAGCATCAATAACCACAATAGTTTAGCTTAGCAAACACAAAGCATATGTCCAAATGTCTCAGTAATACTTACTGTTGAAAGCTCCATCCTCATGGAGGCCAAGGTCGAAGAGCTGTGAAGGGAGGAACTGGGAGGAGTAGGTGAGAGGCACAGATCCCACTGAAGGCTCCTGGGATGTGAGACCAGCATTGGGGCTCCCACAGGCCGTCTGGCATTCCTGTGTAATTTCACTAGTACTTGAAGAAGTGGGGCTTAGGAGGCTGTTCAGAAATGAGAATTCCTTCTCAAAATCATCTCCCTCCAGCGAGTCTCTAGGCAGAGCTCTTGCAGCTTCGGGTTGAGAACAGAAAAGAGCAAGGGTTTTATTTCCTTTTGAGGAAATGAGAGCAGGACACAGGAGAACTAGTCTTGTTTTTCCCTTTGGCATTGACATAATTTAAAAACAACTATATTGATTATGTCTTTAGTTATTCCTAACAAGACAGGATTTAGATAAAAATGGTCAAAACAGTTATGAATGCCTGTGAATGAAGTAAGTTACTGCCTGTGTGAAATGGAGACTCCGTCCAGCAGTATGGGAGACAGACACAATGGACAGAAGCCTTGCAGTGAGGAACCCTACGAGGAAGTGAAGACTTGACAGCACATGTAACAAGGTGATGCTGTGACACGGATGCCTCGTCTCTCCATGATGCTGGAAATCCACAGATAACAGATACGTGTGTGCACATAAAATGCAGTGATAGGAGCTGGAGAGATGGATCAGCGGTAAAGAGCACTGATTGCTCTTCTAAAGGTCCTGAGTTCAATTCCCAGCAACCACATGGTGGCTCACAACCATCTGTAATGAGATTTGGTGCCGAACACTATACACATAATAAATAAATAAATCTTTAAAAAAATGTAGTGATAAACAGTGTGCTTTAATTACAGTGCAATAAAACAATTTTAAAACAAAGCCAGAAAACAAGGTTCTTTTACTGATAAATTTTAAAACCTCCAGTGAAACAATTTTAGCTGAAATAACAAACTTGCTAAAACACTATGATAAAAATATTTCATAATCCATGGGATAATTCAATACCAAGAATTAAGGAGAGGTTGTAGCACCCTTCACAGGACCTTCACTCCAGTGTAACTAGTAAAATCCCCAAGACTATTCAAGATATAAAAAAACAAAAGACATTTCCTTAAAAGTTCCAGAATTCAGGAGGAACTGCAGAATGTGGTATTTGTACTGAAAATGGCCCTCTCCCACCCTAACCATTCCAGTCTGGAATACCCAGGGGCTATCTTCCCCCTCTCCCCCATTTCACAATCTGTCCCTTTACCTGAGGCTAAGTTCCATAATTACAGTCAAGACCAGAGGCTCCCATCACCCACCCAGACCTGCTTATCAGATGGACACTGAGTGGCCCAGTTGGGGTGGGTAGAAGGATAGAGAAGGAATTATGGAAATATGGGAGGAGATGGAGTTGCTCACTGCAGAGTTTGGTTGAAGCCCCTCACCAGCAAGAAGCAGAAGTCAGCACAAGTAACTTTCACTTAAGGCCTTTTTCCCATCTCAGTTGATATCCTGCAGCTTCCTAAGAGTCTCAGCAGAAAGAAAGCCTGTACGTCCCTAGTGGCTGCAGGTTTTGCCTTGCAAAGACTAAATCTATCTATCAGGGCATCTGCACAGTCTCTATATACTCTCACTTGTTAGAAAGAGAAAGGTTTCTTTCTTTCTTTCTTTCTTTCTTTCTTTCTTTCTTTCTTTCTTTCTTTCTTTCTTTCTTTTTGAGACAGGGCTTCTCTGTGTAACATTTCTGGCTGTCCTGGAACTTTCCTTGTAGACCAAGCTGACCTTGAACTCAGAGATCTGACTGCCTCTGCCTTCAAGTGCTGGGAAGCTGTGTGCCACCACTGCCCGACTGAGAAAGGTTTCTTAAGCTTTTGAGATGCAGCTTCACATAGAGCTAACATTGCAACTCTCCCTTGAGAAGCCCATGCCCACTCTTGAGTCTGTCTTACTCTTTCCCCTGAGCATCTCACTATTGCATGCATGTTTAAATCTTTGTAAAATATGACTTCAAAAACTGCAACGCAGAAACCTGCATGCCTCTGCCCCCCACCCCACCCCACCCAGTGCTGGGATTAAAGACTTGTGCCACCCTCACCTGGCCAGAAGTTTTTTTAGCTGGGTATATTTATTTATTGTTGTGTGTATATAAGTATGTGGTGGCATTTGTGTGAAGATCTCAGGACAATTTCAGGGAGTAGGCTAAAGAAGCTCCGTTTTATGCTAGGCATCCATCTTGGTACCTACCATCGGTTTGCCACTGACTCCAGATCCCAGTAACCCTCACTCAATGACCCCACCCAAAAATGCACAGCTGTGACTATCTTCCTGTTATGATATAACTGCTTTTCTTGCTTCTGTAACTTGCTTACACAGATACCCAAAGATTGTTTTGAGTGTTCTTAATTACTTCACTTGGCATAACAGAACAGTTTTTGTTTGCTTGCATAGATATGGAAGGACTTCATGTGGTTTTCCCCTTTAAAGTCCTTCCCTAGACCCTCCTTGATGGCAATCTCAAATCTGGCTCAGAGACTGTTTGACCTACTAGCAGCTAATCAGAAGATCTTTTTAATTATAATTGCACTGAGTCTGTGGTCTTTTCCCAGGGATCACAAACTTCATAACAGTTCCCTTCTTACACTAAGTGGTTCCTGGACAATGAACTTAGATCAGGTTTGATGGCAAGTGCCCTCACCAGCTGAGTCATTCCACTGATTCCCCAAACCAACTAATTAAGTCTTTAAAATCTATTGATAGTGGAGCTGAAGAGATGGCTCAGAGGTTAAGAGCACTGGCTGCTCTTCAGAGAATTCAAGCTCAAGAATATTCCTGGCTAAGAGCACCAGGAAAAAGGCAATCTTGCTGGACCCAAGGCTAAATCATGGCCAACTACTTTGCCTGAAAGAACCAGGTGGAAAAGCTGGCTGGGATTAGAACAACTGACTTTGGGGACTATTCCTCTAATGGAGTCCAAGTTTGACTGCTTTGGTCTGTGGAACAATTTATATTGTAACATTACTGAAGTCAGTAGAGTAGAGCGACTAGCTGTAAATGAATGGAGCTGACCAGCCAGTGAGGTTCTGAGTTCAATACCCAGAAACCACATGGTGGCTCACAACCATCTGTAACAAGATCCGGTCCCCTCTTCTGGCCTGCAGACATACATACAGGTAGAACACTGTATACATAATACATATACATAAATAAATCTCTTATGTATGTGGGTGCTTTTGTCTGCATATACGTCTGTACACTAGAAGGAAGCATTAGAATCCATGAAACTACAGTTATAGACAGTTGTGAGCTGCCATGTGGGTCCTGGGAATTGAACTCAGGACCTCTTAACCACTGAACCATCTCTCCAAACCTCCTCTTAATATTTTTAATGAGATTCCAATTCTGCCTCATACTAGCTACCTCTGGAATTCTTTTCTGAAGCCATAAATCTTGGGTTTTCCTGAGTTTGAGGTCCCTAAAACATTTGAGGTCTCTCCATCCATACCTCTTCTAGGCAAGTATGGAGACATCTTCAGAATATGGTCAGTGATAAATACCAGAGAACTTCATGTTCAACGGCAGGGAACTCTCACAACAGGCTAAACTAGACTCTTAGTACTGAAATCAGAAAACTGGTGAATATATGCTTTCCAATGGTCTTAGGCAACCCCTGTGAAAGAGTCATTCAAGCCCTGAAGGGGTCGTGACCCACGGATTGAGAACCTCTTCTCTAGCCCTTAGCCACATGGCCAAGTAACTGTCCACTAGCACTTCCCATCCAGACATAAATGCTGTGGCTCAGAGCAGGGAGGTAATCACAGGGGTTCACCTTGGAGCTCAGCACAGGGCCCAGTGGTGAGACCCAGCAATAGGACGACCTGAAGACCCTATCCTCAGGTCAGTTCTCAGGACATAGCTAACGATCTGCAGTGGCATCAGGTAAAGCCCCCACTCTGGTGGGCTGCATCGCTGTGAACACTGTACCCGTGCTTGGCGAACAGGCTCAAATTGCACTAGTCTCTGTGGATATGAGACTGAGGCAGAACCTAGGTTAGTGTCATTTGGGCCAAGTGACTACTACCAAGAAGTAGTATTAGAAGACTACTACAAGAAGGAAGACTGTTTGAAATGTGATTGCTGGCTAGTAAAACCCAACACTGTCCCTAGGCCAGTGCTGAGGATGGGTCTCTGGTGTCAGGTGGAGATGGGGCTCATGTTCATTACACTTACATTATGCTGGCACTAATGAGCTATTTGTAGTAGTCTTGAACCCTGAGTTCACCACCAGGAACAGAGTCCATGTTGGTCCTATCCTTGTCCTTCCCCACTGCTGGTCTTAGGCTGTAGGACCCAATTATGGCCTAGTATTTCAATGTTGGTCACTTTAGGACTACCTACTCTATGTCTCTCCCAATGTCAGTCACCATAACATAGAAGGCAACTGTCCTCTTGGGGAAGACAAGGAAAGTAGAGACCAACTGACTTACTGTGTAAGAGCCTGGGGCTGGTGCATCCTTGTGACATGCATAGAAGAGGGAATACTGTGGTGCCTGACTACAGGCCAGTGACAGTGGATGGAGTGTCTGAGCCCATCCAGGCCCCAGGTAGGTGCACAAGAATCAACAACTCCTTACAGACACTCCTCCAGTTAGTTCCCAATAATTCGTCAGTTACAGATTGAACAAACATAGGCTTAGGGAGGGCATCCTTTTTAAAAATTATGTATTTATTGAGACAAGGACTCAGGATAGCCTCATACTGGTGGCAATCTTACCATCTCAGTCTTTCAAGTGCTGAGATTTCAGATGTAAGTCACCATGTCCCATCACGGGGCACTTGAGTTCTGAGGACAATCTTACAGGAAACCTGAGGCAAACTTGGATGTAGGGAGCCATCTAGTGCTAAACTAATGGGACGTGTCCACAGGATCAGAGAATTCAAACTGACAAAGTGAAAACACAGTCTATGGATATGAAGGAAAATATCTCAAAGACAGGCAACTGGAGGAGCAAACATGAGAGCTGGAAAAAATAGGAAATGTAGTACAGTACTAAAGAGTCAACAGCAAGTCATTATAGTTCAAGAGGTATGTGAGACAGTCATAAAACAGAAGACTTCCCAGACCCAAAGCAGGCTGTTAAGGCACAGGAAAGTCAAAGGATTCCAGCCACACTCACCTAAGAATAAGATATTCAGTAAGCTCTCTAGTGTTAAAGCAAACGTACATAAAACTGTCCATCCAGTTCTGCTTGGAGGAGACTATGCTGCAGAATATTTACAGCTCAAGAGACGGTGACATGAGGTATTCACAGTATCCAAGGAAACTGGTAGCCAAGAATACCACACCCAGAAAAGCTGTCTTTTAAAAATGAAGGAGAAGTAAAGACAAAAACTGAGAGAATCTCTCTCCTCCAGACCTGTCCTAAATAAATGTTAAAAGGGGTTCTTCAAACAGAAAGAGATGCTAAGGCTGGCCAGTGGTGGCACATACCTTTAATCCTAAACTTTGGGGGGCAGAGGCAGGTAGATCTTGGAGTTCAAGGTCACCCTGGTCTACAGAGCAAGTTCCAGGACAACCAGGGCTATACAGAGAAACCCTGCCTTGAAAAGGAGGGAGAGAGAGAGAGAGAGAGAGAGAGAGAGAGAGAGAGAGACTCGTGAGAAAAACAGTACACACATAGCACAGAAGGCATAAAACTCATGCACAGTATTATAATTCTTTAATATATTGTGTCTTTAGTAATGGCCTAACTAACAATGTAAATAAAAGCAACAGTAACTACAGTAACTACATTATGTTAGGAGAAAGGCAATATAGAAAGGTATAAAATGAGTCCAGCAGATGGCTCAGCAGTTCTTGGCACTTGCTGCCCAACCTGACAAAATGAACTTGATCCTGAGGACAAATGGTAGGAGAAGGGAACCAACTGTCCTCTTATCTCCACACATGACTGTGGCACGCACGCACCCACATATACAGAGCCACATACCAATAAATGTAATTTTTGTTTTGCTTTTCAAGACAGGGGTTCTCTGTGTAGCCCTGGCTGTCTGTCTGAAACTTGCTCTGGAGACCAGGCTGGCCTTTAACTCAGAATTCTGTCTGCTTCTGCCTCCCTAGTGCTGAGACTCAAGGTGTGTGCCACCACCACCCAGCAATAAATGTAATTTTTAATAATTAAAAACAAAGGCTGAAGCTGGGTATGGTAGCACACTCGAGAGGCAGAGGCTGGTGGATCTGTGTGAGTTTTAGGCCAACCTAGTCTGCCTAGAAATAAAATGAGACATCAAAATTTCAAAGTGGAGCCCTGGTCTACAGAGCGAGTTCTAGGACAGGCTCCAAAGCTACACAGAGAAACCCTGTCTTGAAAAAACCAAACAGAACAAAAACCAAAATTTCAAAATGGGCCTGAGGATGTAGCTCAGGTGACAGTGTCTTGCTGAGCATGTATAGGGCCCTGGGTTCAGTCCCCAGAACTACATACAAAAGATAGGCACAATGACATGCCTATAATCTCAATTCTCCAGAGGTAGTGGAAGGAGGATCTTAAACTCAGTGCCATCTTTAGTTATATAGTCAATTTGAGGGCATGCTGGGCATGCAAATGCAGAGGGTTTTTAATTTTTTATTTTAATCTATGTATATGAATGTTTTGCCGTGTGTGTGTGTGTGTGTGTGTGTGTGTGTGTGTGTGTGTGTGTGTGTGTGTGTGTGTGTGTGTGTGTCTTGTGTGCAGTTGTGAGCTGCCATGTTGGGTGCTGGAAACCAAACCCAGGTGCTCTGCAAAAGCAGTAAGTGCTCTTGAATTTCTAGTCACCTCTCCAGCTTCTAAAAGATTTTTTGAAGCTAGTATTTTCACATTTTATTTTCATTCTTTGTGATCAGTGTTGAGTTGTTACTATTAGAATATTGTATCTTATAAACAAAAGATTTTGTTGGTAAGTCTTAAGGTAATCCACAAAGCAAAAGACTGTAGTTGCACACCAAAAATAAAAGGGACTCAAAGTGCACTAAAGAAAAAATCACCAAACACAGAGGAAAACTATAAGATGAGAAGAAACTATAATGAAACTGTAATGCCAATATTAAAGTGTCAGGAGCATGGGAGGTCGTGCTGATACACACCTTTAATGCCAGCACTCAGGAGGCAGAGGCAGCTGGATCTCTGAGTTTGAGATCAGCCTAATCTACACAGCAAGTCTCAGGCCACTCAAGGTTACACAGAGAAACCCTGTCTCAAAAGGCAGTAGGAGGAGAATGGGACATGTAGCAAAATCACACCTAGCAAAAATTAAAAATATATAAATGGATTAAATTCCTCTATTAAGAGTCTTGGACTGAACGTATTTTTTTTAAAGTTCCAAGACCATGATGGGGAAACCCACAGAATCAGCTGACCCAAGCTAGTGAGAGATCACTGACTCTGGTCTGACAAATGGGGAACCTGCATAAGACTGAACTAGACCCTCTTAATATAGGTGACAATGGTGTGACTGGGGCAATAAACTAGGTCACTGTCAGTGGGTCCAAGATCTAACTCTAATGCACAAACTGGCTTAGTGGATCCCATTCTATATGGAGAGATACCTTGCTCAGAACAGACACAGGGGTATGGGGGGTGGGGATGCCCTGGTGCTGCTTCAACAAGATGATAAGACAGACTTAGTAGACTTCCTAGGGGAGGCCTTACCCTCTCCCAAGGAGCAGATGGGAAGTGGGAGGGGGGAGGGAGGGAAAATTGAGACTGTAAAAGATAAATTAATGAATTTTTTAAAAGTAAAAAGAGAATGACTGAAATGAGCCCTTTCTCCCCTGAGTTACGAGTTGTCCGGGTGTTTTGTTACAGCAACCGAAATGAAAGGAGACTACCACCTCCCTTCCTACCCTCCAGCTATTCCCCTTCTCACTCAGTTCTCAGCTGGTACATGTTTGAGTTGGTTTCTGTTTGGGACAATAAAACTGTGAAGAGCATTATGTCAAAAAACTAAACTTGTTTTGGCCTTACTCAGTCCTACTAGGGAGGGACATACCTGATAAGTGAACAAAATAGACGAAAGTGACAACATTTTAAATGCAATTTAAATCAATATTTTAAAACAATATTTTAAAATAAGAGTGTGACAAATTATTTTGACATTAAAATGTGGCTATTTCAATTTAATGTATCTACTGTCTTACCTGGTTCTCTCTCAAATCTCTCTTCCTCTTCTGACAAAGCTACCCTAAAGTAAAAACAGAGATTTTGGTTAAAATAACGTCTGAGGTTCAAAGCCCCCAGTTTCATATAATTAGAACTTTAATTCAGGAGGTACATAGAACACTTGTCTGGTAGATCAAGTCTCTAACAGAGCATATCCTTCCTGTTTCTGTAGATTTGCACAGAATGTAGAAACCTTATTCTTACTTTCTTTTTCTCTGTGTAGCCCTGGATATCCTGTAGACCAGGCTGGCCTCAAACTCAGAGATCCACCTGCCTCTCCTGGGATTAAAGGCATGCACCACCACTGACTGGCTCCTTACTGTTATTTTCCACTCCTTATTTCAGTAAACACTAACTCAGGATTGTAGGCACCAGGCCAATACAAGGTTGAATATTCCTACATTGGAAATCTGAACTCCAGAATGTCCATAGCTTTTTGAGATGATAGAATAAATGGAAAACCTCTTTATCACGAGGCTTGTTTTACGTACACACTATTTAATATAGAGTAATACCACTTCAGGTCACAAACATAAGACACACAGAACTCACACCAGTTACTTTCCTCTGTGCCTATGTCTTCCCTTCAGTAAGTACTTCTAAAAGAGGGGCACACAGGGTGGGATTATGTGGAAATTTCTGGAGTCTTTGCTATCACTGAAGAAACCACTGCAGCCAGCAAGCTGTATAGCAATACTCTTGCTATTTTTGCTGTGTTTTATAGTATTGCCCACAGACTTTGGAGCTTATTTTTTAATTAAAATTATCCTAATCAATTAAGATAAGAAAGCATAAATGAATTTTATGTTTAAGACTTGGATCCCACATCCCTAAGATATCTCAATATGTTTCTGCAAATATACAAAAAAATTTTTTTAAAGTCTGAGAACTGGAGTACTTGTACAAACATCTTGGGTATGGGACCTCACCCTGTGCATCTCAGAGCACCTGGCTGCAGGCTGTGGTATTTCATTTTCATGTACTGGGGGCTGGGGTGGCCTTAACTTAATTTGTAGGAACTAAAAGAGAGGAGAACACCCCCCACAAAATGTGGCATTCTACTTTGAATAATAAAGTGATGTTTGGCAAAGAAGATAACACAAGCTAGCCTATGGCATCCCTAGTTCAATGGTCCCTTGCAGTATGTGTCTAATATGCTGAGTTAGAACAGTTATGTAACAGGAGTGGGGCAGAGAAACTGAAGGGAGATTGAACTGTTATCCCTGGGCATGGCTTTACACTTGTCAGTATGGAAGACTCTCAATATGTCTTTAAAGATATTAAAGACTAACACAGTATCAATTTTAAAAATACTAAAAACAAAACCAAAAAAAAAACCCTTTCAGAATAAATAGAAACTTAGGATTTGGAATGAAGTTTCCAATGATAGTATACATAATATACAATCTGTGTAGTAGCCCTGGCTGTCCTGAAACTTGCTTTGTAGACCAGGCTGGCCTCGAACTCACAGAGATCTGATAGCTTCTGCCTCCAGAGGGATGGGATTAAAGGTGTGCACCACCACTGCCTGGCATATTTTAAAATTTTTATTACTAAACTTCATATTCTATAAATCTTTTTTAAAAAGACTTGTTTTAAGCTGGGCGTTGGTGGCGCACACCTTGAATCCCAGCACTCGGGAGGCAGAGGCAGGCGGATCTCTGTGAGTTCGAGGCCAGCCTGGTCTCCAGAGTGAGTGCCAGGATAGGCTCCAAAGTTACACAGAGAAACCCTGTCTCGAAAAACCAAAAAAAAAAAAAAAAAAAAAAAAAAAAAAAAAAAAAAAAGGACTTGTTTTTAATTACCTGTACAGGTGCCACAGGGCTTGGAAAAGTATGCAGTCAGCCCCCAGAGCTGGAGTTATAGGAAGCTCTGAGCTGCGTATATGATATTTTTAAATAACTTGGATGAAAATGTTTAGGAATCTGCTCAATAATTTGAAATAGCATTTATACTACTGAAGATAGTATAAACATGAGATTTTCAATGAAGCTCCCCTGTGAGAATGAAAAAATTTTATTCAACTATTTAGTCATGACTTATTGTTGCTGTTTTGTTTTTGTCTTTTGAGACAGGATCTCACTGTGTAGCTCTGGTTAACCTGAAACTCACTCTGCAGACTGTGCGGGTCTCCAACTCACAGAGATCCAATGCCTTCTCCTCCCAAGTGCTGGGAGTAAAGACGTGCATCACCATACCTGGCCTCATTCATGATTTTAAATGTCAACATAAAACCAATGTAAGTTTAATTTATACATTTTATACATACAAACTTTTAGTTTGGATTTCCCATAGAGAAATAATATGGTTGGGATCGCAATCCACTCAACAGTCACTGTCACTACTGGCAGAATTTGGTGCTGTCTTAGCAGTCTGGCAGCAGCAGAAAAGCACGGGCAGACACAGGGAGGCGGGAATGAGCAAGGCCCTTAGCTCCTGGACTCAGCTGTGCTATTTGAAGATGTGTCTCTAACAGCTACTAGGCCTGGACCTGCCTGCACTCCTGCTGTCCCTACCAGGCTTCCCTACAGTACTCAGCTCTTAGCACAATGCACTTTCTTCCTCATGACAGAGTCTGGAGTTATCACCACACTTGACTTTACTTTTGTCATCTCCTTTGCCTACCATGTTGACAGCGGGGTAAATATAGCAAATGCTTGTATTTTTTGGAAAAGTGACATAGAGTAAGCATTCAGTGAGCTAGAGAGGACTTGGCATCCAGGACTTCCATGGCAACAGAGGCAGCTTTCGCCTACTTACTTATTGAGGTTTGCAGTAAGACAGCTGCCTTCTGCTGCTTCTTCTTTGTGGTCTGTAGTGAGATTGCCTGGCATGTCTTGTAGACGCTAGGGATATGAAATTTAATGATAAGCACTTAGAAAAAAATCCATTTCTTTTTACAAGCTAGAGGAGAGTAAAAACATTAGACAACAAGATAAAATAGAAATGGTTCTGAATAGAGGGAGATCTGTGGGAATGTGGGTTGGCATTATTTGCACTGAGTCGCCTGTGGAAAGGTTAGCCTTGAGGAAAGGGTAGCAACTTGTGATATGTCCAAAGAAAACACGATGCACTGTCGGCCTATACTGCAACCCTCAACACATGGCTAAAGATGTTCTGCTTCAATTCTGAGGAGAAATTAGGCACATAATTTTACCTAAATACATAATACATTATTTATTGAAGCACTTATTATAGAAAACATTAAGGGCAGGGGTCAATCTCAGCACTTGGGAGACAGAGGCAGGTAGATCTCAGTGATTTGGGGCCAGCCTGGTCTACCAGGGCTGTTACACAGAGAAACCCTGTCTCAACAACCCCCCCCCCATAATGGTAAGTTAAAAGGCACTTAAAGCTAGCTCATCAGAACTGAAGAAATGACTATCACAGGGTGACTTTGCTGAGTAAGCCATATGCAAAGATGTAACCGGATGCCGTGAAACATGGAGAAATTGTAATTACACGTGAGCACACTTTCATATGTCCATGCTACGGAAAGAGCTCCTCTCTTCTTAGTCTCTGCAGCAGCAGTGGCACCCCTGCCAGGCCATGCTGTGTGATCTGGGCACCATGAGCCACACCTTTTTACATCAGGAGAAAGGCAGGAAGGAAGTTTGCTTTAAACTGCTGAAATTGACAGGCCAGTTATCTGATCATTTTCAAGCATATGCAATTACTTTCTATCACTTATTACTTAAATTGTTTTCATAGATTTTCATAACTCTGTGAATTTTAAGGGTTTGTTTGTTTGTTTGTTTGGTTTTTTGAAACAGGCTGCCAAGAAACTCACTTTGTAGATCAGGCCTCAAATTCACAGAGATCCACTTGCCTCCCAAGTGCTGGGGTTAAAGGTGGGCACCACCACTGCCTGGCATATTTTAAAATTTTTATTACTCAACTTCACATTCTACAATTTTTTTAAAGACTTGTTTTTAATTATGTGTACACAGGGATTGGAAAAGTGTGCAGTTGGGCCCCAAGCGCTGGAGTTATAGGAAGTTGTGAGCCCCTGACATTGGTGCTGGGAACCAAACTTGGGTTCTCTGTAAGAGCTCAGCTCTTAATCCCGAGCCACCGCCTCTGGCTCCATCTCCTCAGTGTCTACTCTCCTTCTCACTTCTCCTATCATACTAGCACCTCAGCCTGCAAGGTCCCTGTGTATTTTAGTGTTACTGGTGGCTTTCGGGACCTAGAGAGTATGGATCCTTAGGATCCTTCCCTCCCCCCTAGGAGTAGGGGGAAGATGTTTCACAGGGTTCCATGGGTTTGAAACTAAGCTTAGCTAAAGACAGTTTCAATGTTATCACCCAATGAAGTATGATACAGCTAAAGGAGAGAACCAGGGAGACGTACCTTGAGAGCTATGAAGTCATATGGATGAAAACTAGCACAGGCCTCTTGGATTTTGGCCATCATTTGAGCTGTTTTTTCCCAGAATCCAAGCAATGTTCTCTGCAGAAAAAAGGAAAGGTGATACTACAGTTCTTTCCCATCTAAGATCTGTTTGAGGCGTTTCCTTACTGCTGTGGTACTCAATAACAGACAGGAAGTGATCTAACTGTCCGAGAATAAGGAACAGAAAGAACTGTAGATCACAATTCTTCATCAGACAGCACCTGAGTCTGCATGTACATCTGTCCATCTCTACACAGCACTGGAATGTACTGAGGGAGAAACTATAGCTCATAATAAGAAAAAGACAATCAATGGGTCTAAAAGTCTCGGAATCCAAAACAGAAACATCAAAGGCATAAAAACACTGATCTCTATATGTGTCATCTTTATGTTAGCATATGTAAGCATTTGTGTGTGTGTGTGTGTGTGTGTGTGTGTGTGTGTGTGCATGTTATGGAGTACCTTATAGAGGTAAGAGAACATGTGGGTTCCAGGGATCAAATTCAGGTCATCAGGCTTGATAGCAAGCATCTTCACTTGCTGAGCCATCTCACTGACTCATAAGAATATTTTTTGTGTTTTGTTTTGCTTTGTGAGACAGGGTCTTACTAGGTATCCTTGCCTGACCCAGAACTTGCTATGTAGATCAGGAAACTCACAGAAATCCACCTCAGCATCCTGGTTGCTTGGATTAAAGGTGTGTGCCACTATTCTCCGTCCATTGTAGTGATATATTATTTGTGATTTATTAAAAGCTTGACTGAGGATTCAGAAAAGCAAAATTGGCCTCAAGCTATGGAGATCAGGCAGTGGTGATACACACCTTTATCCCAGCAGCTAGAAGCTAGAAGTTAGTGGTACACACCTTTAATCCCGGGACTCAGGATTAAGAGGTAGATGAATCTCTCTGAGTTCAAGGCCACCCAGGGATACACAAGATTTAATCAGTCTAAAAGAGTAACAGATCACATGCCTTTAATCCTAGCACTAGAGGGGTATAAAAGATAGGAGCAGGGTCTTCAGTATTCAGTATCAGGCATTCATTCTCCAGACACACTGAGGAGAGGTTACAGTCTGAGGCTTGGTGAGACCTTATGGAAACAGGATCAGCCCATTCAGCCTGAGGTAGAAGTAAGAAGCTAGTGGCCGGCTGCTTTGCTTTTCTGGTATTCACTTGAAGTTTGAACCCCAATATCTGTTTCTGGGTCCTTTTACTTTTCATGTTACATTCCATAACTATCTATTATTTCTTCTACTTGGTTTTTGTTTGTTTTTTGAGACAGGCTTTCTCTGTGTAGCCCTGATTGTCCTGGAACTCTCTCTGTAGACCAGGCTGGTCTAGAACTCACAGAGACCTGCCTGCCTCTGCTTTCTGAGTGCTGGGATTAAAGGCGTGTGCCACCTCATAAATATCTTTTTATTACAGAAAATATTTACTACCAAATTTGGTCTTTCCTAAAGGGCTTAAAGACTTGACCCTCCAAAATGTGTTACTTAGTTAACTTGTTGCTTCAAGATTCCTGTTCCAAGACAAAGGCTGATTAGAGAGAACAGAGGAGTACTGAGTTAACAGCAGTTAAACTACAGATTGTCATTTTTTCATTGTCAAGGACATCTTTCCTTGAGTCTTGAATTCCATAGTACTAAACTGAACTAGGCATATTACTTTAAGACAACAATGAATAATTACCTCCTTTCATTAATTATTCTTTCCTTATTCAAATACAATTTTCTACTTGCTGTTTTCAAATATACATTAAAGCCAGCAACTACTACTTGTAAATAGCTATCATTCATTATAAATTATTCACATGATTTGAGGGCAGTATAAGTGTAGGTGAGTGTTTCAGAATATCTGTTTAACTATACAAAGATGTGTTGTATTTTTTAAAACTATGTAAAGATGTGTTTATGTTGCAGAATATTTGTTTAACTATGCTAAGGCTCCTGATTGGTCTAATAAAAACCCGAATGGCCAATAGTGAGGGAGGAGGTATAGGTGGGTCTTTCAAGCAGGGAGAGTAGGTAGGATGAGGAATTTAGGATTGGGGAAAGAAAAAGAGATGCCTGAAAGACACCAGGGGTCAGACAGACAGACATGGAGGAAACAGGAAAGTAGGACAGAAAGAGAGTGGGGGGGGGGTGGTAAAAGGCCTGAGGCAAAATGTAGATAGAGACGGGTTAAATTAAGTTAAAAGAGCTAGTGGGACAAGCCTAAGCTAAAACTAAGCATTCATAAAAATAAGTCTCTGCATCTTTATTTGGGAGCTGGTTGGTGGCCCAAAGTAAATTCCAACTGCAAATGGCACCCAACATGGGGTACAAATTTTTACCTAGGAAATTCCTAGGCCTGGGAAAGCTGAAGGGCAAAAAAACCACCAAAACCCAACAGATAACAGATCCTTTAAGAGGCACTGCTGTGTGAGCACTTGAGCAGCTGGCATGCTAAGTGGAAACAGCAAACTAAATAAAAATGCCTGCCACAGTGAATGCAGCAACTTCCTAGAGCTGGGGTGGTTAAATGCAGGTCTCAGTTAAACGCAGCTCTAGACCAGGCTTTTGGGCTTAAGGCTCAGTTCTCATGGACCCTAGCAGGGGGCAGAGCTAACCACCAGAGCCTCCTCAGAGGGCCTAACTGCCACTTAGCAGTTTAAGGTTTGGCTCACATGGACAGAGAATGCTACAGGTGCACAGTACCTGTTTAGGTCCAGACCTAACAAACCTTTAAACAGGTTACAGTATTCATAGGTGCTTAAGAAACAAAAGAAAATAGGTATAGACAGTCATAGAAAAAATAAATAGTTTAAAAATAATTAAAGTCTTTAAAGAGTAAAGTAATAGAATAAGCCCCATAAAAATTGAAAATACACAGGGAGCCTGGATCTTGTATGGTACTGTGGTGATATATTTATGAATTATTAAAGCTTGCTGAGGGTACAGAAAGCAAAGCCAACCACAAGCCACAGAGCCAGGCAGTGGTGGCACACACCTTTAATCCCAGGACTCAGGAGACAAAGGCAGATGGATCTCCGTTAGTTCAAGGCCACATTGAGTTACATGAAACTGATCCAGTCCTAAAGAGAAACAGCTCACACAAAGGCGATCTCAGCACTTGGGATCACATGCCTTTAATCCCTGGGTTTGAGAGGTATGAAACGAAGAAGCAAAGTCAGTCTTATTTATTCTCCAACCATGCTGAGGACAGGATAGCCCTTTCAGCCTGAGGTAGAAGTAAGAGCTAGTGGCTGGCTGGTTTGCTTATCTAGCCATCAGCTTGAACCTCAATACCAGTCTCTGGGTCTTTATTATTCATGTTGCACGATGCTTTGTTGACTTTGAGTTTTTGAATGCTGATGAGTGGACAGCAGCTGCCAAGAGACAGAGGATTGTAAAAGGAACTGCTGAATTAAACCAGCCTGGATACTTTAGGGATGTCTTAACTTTAAAATGGAAGTCAGAAAATGTATTGCATTTGGGGAGAGGTTATGCTTTTGTTTCCATAGGAAAAAAAAGGCTGTAGATTCCTTCAAAAATTAATAGAGATCATGTTTTACTTGGGGAGACCCCCTGAAAATCTTGGCTACAGACAAAGAAATAAATCTAGAAAAACTATAAGACAGATGATGTATATGTTGATTCCTTGACATGGAAACAAATCTGAGCCTGGATGAGACATGATAAATCTTGTTGGTTACAGAGTCCTCGTGAATTATTATTACATGCCATCCTTTCATATGGCAGGGATAGAGGTTTGGTTATACAGTCCAAACAAACTTACAAAGTTTACAGATATCTTTTACATGTTCAAACATAAAACAAAAAAACATTTTTGACTGGCTTCTGTACAACGCACAGTCCATACTGTGTTAATACAGATATGCGTGTTACCTTTGAAAGTTAGTGTGTTTTCAGAGCAAAGGGACCAAACACCAATGAAAATGGGTAGCCCAAGTGATCCAGACTCTCAGAGTGCCTCTGTTTCAGTTTCCTCAAAGTTCTGCATTCAGAACAACTTCAAGGCTGCTAACTGAGATGGCCCAGCCTCACAGACTATTCTATCTATAACTTCAAGATAAGTCTATCCTTTCCCATTATATGGAGACCAGACAACAAATGTTATGGCTAGTTTTCTTAGGACTTGACCATTATCTCAATTTTCTCAGGGTTCCCTGGGGATGCCATTGCTCCCAGACAACATGAAGCAGTCTAGAGAATAATACAACACCCACATTCCCAAGAGGCGGGGTGGGTGGTTTTTGGTAATTCTGTGGGTTATGGATATTTGTCATTATTTACTGGGAATATAATATAGAATAAAAAGACAACTATTCATCTAAAATATTTTACATTGGTATGGATTTTTGTACATTGATACAAATTTAAGGTTATATTTGTTCCAACTCTTGTTTAAGGTATTGTACCTATGTAGCTCATTTAAAAATGTAATATAAAATTGTAGTCCTTGAAGACTATTATTACAAACTGTTTAGAAATGCAGGTTAATAAAGAAATGCAGGTTAGTCATTAGTCATCTATAACAATCAGACTTTTAGTCATGTCTGTTATGTTTTCAAGGTCAAACAGAGATATATTTGAGATAGATGATCTTTAAACATTTCAGAGACCTACAGAATATGCCATTTAAGATGTTTTAATAACAAAAAGCTTTTCATGACAGTGAGACATGTCTGCTCCTGGCAGCACCAATCTACATCAGAGAAGATGATGGTCATTGAAGAACCTCTATATGGAGTTTGCTTTCATTGTGGCAAAGCTAGCCATGTAGGCAAGAAACTGCCTTTGCCTTGACTGCTGACAGTATGCTGTACAAACTGGACACAGAGGACACAAAGGAAAAAGACAAGGTGGGTCAGTCCTTCAGAATTCCTGCTTCACAAAAAATGTGTGTCAGATATTCTAGGCCTGTAGGCTGAAGATAGATGCCCCAATGTTACAGAGGAACTTTGGGTGCCTGTCTAGGTAGCCAGATTGTGTTTGTCACTTCTATAGTTTTGCAAAAAATATAGATGAGATGAAATAGGTTAAATTAAGTTAAAAAAGCTAGTGGGACAAGCCTAAACTAAGGCCAAGCATTCATAATTAGTAAGTCTCTGTGTCTTTATTTGGGAGCTGGTTAGTGGACTAAAGAAAATTCCAATTATAGGTGAGATTTATGAAGTTAAAAGTTGCGTAGGATGGCAACTTGGCAGAATGAAAGGAATACATAACCTCAATTTGGCAAACGGGTTTTTTAATCAAATTACCATTTACTTGTCATTGCTTCATTTTATCTATCTATCTATCTATCTATCTATCTATCTATCTATCTATCTATCTATCTATTATGTTTTTTGAGACAAGGTTTCTCTGTGTAACAGCTCTGGCTGATCTAGAACTAGCTCTGTGGACCAGGTTCACTGTGAGTTCAGAGAGTCATCTGTCTCTGCCTCCTGGAACCACCACCTGGCTTGGCTTCATTTCTTTTTTCATTACTTGATACAAAACTTTTCAAACTTTTTGGAGCATGGTATTCTTTCTGCTTTTTTGTTTAATTTGGTGACAGAGTCTAGACTTGAACTCTCAGTCCTCCTGTCTGTGCTCTGAAGAGCTGAGAGACCTGCATGAGCCCCTATAGCTGGCAGCACCCAGAGTTTATAAGTCTTAAATTTTACCACCTCACCGTTCCCCCTTTCTTTACCTTTTTTCTTTCTTTTGTTAAAATTTTTTATTCTATTTGCCTTTTGTTTGTTTGTTTGTTTGAGACAGGGTTTCTCCGTATATCCCCAACTGTTCTAAAATTCACTCTGTAGACCATGCTGGCCTGGAACTCAGAGATAGGCTTGCCTCTGCCTCCCAAGTGCTGGGATTAAAGATTTGCATCTCCTCTTCCTGGTTTACCGTCTTTCACCCTGCTAGTACCCAAAAGAGAATAGTGTGAAACTACAAGATAGACAGTTTCTTTTTTTTTTTTCTTTCTTTTTTGGTTTTTCGAGACAGGGTTTCTCTGTGGCTTTGGAGGCTGTCCTGGAACTAGCTCTTGTAGACCAAGCTGGTCTCAGAACTCACAGAGATCCACCTGCCTCTGCCTCCCAAGTGCTGGATTAAAGGCTTGTGCCACCACCGCCCGGCTAAGATAGACAGTTTCTAAGTCTCTCTTCTGTTAGAGCTTTATGGTTCTCTGTCAGAGCTTCAACAGATCAATTGCATCTGTCAAAGGAACCTGACCAATGGCAAGAGTTTTCTTGTACCCATTAGACAACTTGTAAAAAGGAATCTCATCACTCATCTTTACCGCAAGAACATGCTGACCGTGGAGTGGGTACCTGGTAGGTAGTGAGCGAGTGAGATAGCATATTGCAGCGACTAGCTCCAAGCAAATCCACTTTCTGACAGACATCCATCTTTAACTTGTCAAAAGAACCTTTGCTGTTTCTCACTTGGATCTGTACCTGCAATCACAAAAAAAAAAAAAGCCCATTATTATCAATACCAAATCTAATGGGTCTGAAATAAATTTCTCCAGACACATGGGATTATAACAGTTCCTTTCTCTGTGTCATTATCATCCCATGACTAACGAGGGACACTACTTGAGCTAATTTTGATAATTACAGGAGATTCTTATATTTCGCTTTTAAACAGTCACTTGTTTGTGTAGCAGGGGGCATGCGTGTGTAGGGAGGGTGCACATGTGTGGAGGCTGGAGAATACATGGGAGTCGGTTGTCTCCTTTTGCCATTTGAATTCTGAGGAAGGAATTCAAATCGTCAGGCTTGGAGGTGAGTGCCCTCAACCCCAGAGCCATCTCACTGGCATGCCAGGAGCTAACTGTACGGTAAGAAAATCTGGGAAGAATGAAAATTTCATAGTTAAGAAAAAAGTGCCCCAGATAAAAATAAATATCTGAAATGTTTAGGATATGTACAGTATATAGTAAGAGTAGAAGCAAATAATGGAAGGGTTAAGGAGAGGGCTCAGTGTGCAAAGTTTCTTGCCACCAAGCCTGTTGACCTGAGTTTGATCCTTGGAACCCACATCGTAGAAGGAGAAAACCAACTCCCAGAAGTTGTCTTCTTCAATCATGTGTATGCTGTGGCATGTGCTCACACACACAAAATAAATCAATAAATGTAATAAATTTTAAAGACAAGCATATTCTAGTGGTATATATGCATCTCATAAACAATAAGTAAAATGTAATAAATTTAGAAGATAAATACAAGACATAGTCAAATGTTGGGGGGCATTAATATCTCTAAATCATCCAGGTATTTATATATTTAAATTATTTCTTAATAAATGCCATTGGATAATATAAATACCGACTTTTGAAAATGTTTATCCATTCATTGACTCAGACAATATCTACAAGTTGTCTAGTAAATGAAGCATTAATTATGCTGGGAACTGAGATGCTGTGACAAACAAAACAAATGTTCATCTTATCATTGGCGGGGGTGGGGGCGGGGGAAAAGGTAAATCATTACAGGAGGGACTCTCAACTTGGAAACGTGCTAAGTGAGTGAGTGACTACTAAATGACCAGGAAGGTCATTTTTGGGAAGCTGGGATGATTTTGAACTGGACAGGAAGGTGATAAACAGCTACACCAAGGGAGAAGGTTCCTTGTGGGGGTGGGAGGCGGCACAAGAAACAAGTATATGAAAGCTGTGTGGGGATGAGGGACCAGACCTTTGCAGGATTTCTGAAAGGGACCAGATAGGAATATGTATTTTTGTTTTATTTTGTTTGAAGTGAAACTCACGTACATGTAACCATTTGGAAGTACAGAATGCAGTGACATTAGTGCTTTCACAGTGCTGTCCAACCACTCTCACGGATGAAACATTATTGCCAAGGATTATAATGAGAGTAGAACAGGAGGCTGCTCTGACTGCAGGATGAGTATTCGCCTATTTTACAGGACTGCTGAGAACAATCAATGAGTTGTGCTGGCTAGCAATATGTCACTTTAATAGGACTAGAGCCATTTTGAAAGTGAGAGCCTCAACTGAGAACATACCACCACTCCCCTAGCAGGCGCTTGTAGATAGCCTATGGGACACTCTTTTGATTGATGTGGGAGGGCCCTGCTCATGTGGCAGTACCAGCCCTGGGCTAGTGGTCTGGACTGCTGTCATAAAGCAGCCTGGGCAAGCTGTAGGAACGAACCAGTGGGTAGCACGCCTCTGTGGTTTCTGCTCCAGCTCCTGCCTTCAGGGTCCTTCTCTATTCGAGTTCCCACCCTGACTTCCTTAAAAATGGACTGTGCTGTGGAACTGGAAGCTGAAACAAACACCTTCCTCCCGCATTTGCTTTTGCTTGTGTTCCATCATAGCAGTGGAGTAGCTGAGACACGAGGGAGTCACCCACAATATCTGGTGGAGGGGAGGTGTCATGAGCACTGACCATCAGGACTCTATTATAGTTTCTATGAATTAGAATTTCTATGGATTTTAATATCCACATATGGTAAACTTAAGGTTCATATTTATCTGCATATATATGGACTTTACCTGGGAGCTACATCTTCATCCCTGGGGATATAATTTATAATGAGTTTGTTTAACAAAAATATGTTTACAAGGTATGAGTTTCTATTGCAGAAGGAAAAATTTAATAACCTCCACTTTTTCTTAGAACTAACAATCATTTCACATGATTGTCACTTCAGCAGCTATGTATTTTTCCACTAGTAATAAACTATTTTCTATCTGTAATAAATCCTAACATTCTAGGTAAGTAATATTTAAAATGTGATTAGAGCTTTTGTGAAAGGGACTTTTAAGAAGAGTGGGAGTGAGATGCCACTTAAAGAGTGCATTTGCTGAAATATCGAAGTAACCAAGAATTGATGTTAGAACATACTTTTCAAAAAATAGTCTAGACCTGGGTACAGTGGTATGCACCTGTAACCCACTCTGGGGAAGCCAGGCAGCTGTGTGCATTCCTGCCCAGCCTGGGCTATACAGTGAGAGCCTATTTTTTTTTTATTATCTCTATTATTCTGTATTAGTTCTCTATGTTAATGTCAAGAAAAGGAGGGCCTGAGAGATGCTCAGGAGCTAAGAGCACTGGTTGCTCTACTCTCCCAGATGACCCAACAATAACAAGGCAGGTCACAACCATCTAAAATGGGGGTCCAATACCTTCTTCCAGTGTACAGACGTACTTGCAAACAAAACACCTATACCGAAAAAGACATAAACGAACCTAAAGAAAGGGGAAAGGATGCATTTTCTTACTTTTCTAAACTTTTCCATTTGTTTTAAGGTGTCTGGGTCGAGCTCCTGGGATGCATCCTTCATCCACAGCAGGGCCCCTCTATAGTCTGTGCGAGCCCGCTCCATTCGATTAATGGTCATCAAGGTGTCAGAAACGGCCCTCTGACTGAATGTTGCTACTTCTTGCTTAAGACGAGACAGAGGAGTGCACAAGGCCAATCTAATAGCAGAGAGTAAAGATCAAGAGGATTGTACATCCATAAACAAAATTCAGACACATTGCAACTGGTGTTCCCCATGTAGATGAGTCACAAACACGCCAAGAAGATAGAGAAAACAGACTGAGTTCCTAGGAAGTATGTTTCTACAAGTCTGCCCATTTTAACTTTAGGAAACATAACTTGGTAGCACCTCAGATGTTGGTCCAGATAAATAACCCAGCAGACACATCTACCACCTAGAAAAGAGTTGTGTAAATCACAGTCTATTCACAGAGTGCTCCACTGGTGAGTATAGGGAGAAGCTGGGTTTTAAAGATTAGATAAAAATGCTAGAACTAATGAGGATGCAGTTCTGACAGCTGAGTGAAGACAGGAACACAGGTGCTTAAGGAGCACAAATCAAACCCAGCTGCTCTAAGGCTGCTTTTGATACAGTACCACTAGAAGGCCCAGGACCCACTGGCTCAATTCCTTCAAGCAGGATTTCGGCACTAATATGGCACTACGGAATAAAGCCATCTGGGCCAGACATCACACTGCAGAAAACTGATGAGGTCATTTCTCATTTTTAGTGTAATACAAGGATTTGAGATGTGTGTGTGTGTGTGTGTGTGTGTGTGTGTGTGTGTGTATTATGAGATATATGTTATATATCTATATTTTATATATGAGATAGACTTTGTAACATACATATTTATGGTAAACACTGTGAAATAATAAGAGGAAAGTATGTAATTAAGAAAGAATAAAACCAGCCGGGCATTGGTGGTGCACACCTTTAATCCCAGCACTGGAGGCAGAGGCAGGTGGATCTCTGTGAGTTCAAGGCCAGCCTGGTCTCCAGAGCGAGTACCAGGATAGGCTCCAAAGCTACACAGAGAAAGCCTGTCTCCAAAAAAAAATAAGAAAGAATAAAATCAGGCCAGGTTTGGTGGCACAGGCCTTTAATCCCAGCACACAGGAGAGGGAGGGCACACAGAAGCAGGTGAATATTATTTATGAGTTCAAGACTAGCCTGAGATACATAATGAGCTATTCTTAAAAACATTAAAAATTCTATTTAAAAAGAAAAGTTTCAATTTAATCATAGATTGTAAAAGTCAAAAGAAAAAGTGAGTGACTGGAGGAAGGTGTATTTCAAGGATCAGGTGTCCACTACGATGCATGCATGAGGCCTGGGGTTGATTGTCAGCATCACAGAAAACAGGAAGAGAAAAAATAGAAACATGTATTTTAAACAGTAACCATTCTGTGACTCTATTATAGTAAGCCATGTGGGAAATAGAAATGTAGCACTAAATGCTATTTTTAGGGATTTAGGCAATCAAGAACATTAATCTTTAAGTAATCCTTTTGAAATAAAATGAATAATTGAAAGTCAGGCATAAAATACATATCCTCAAGCACATTTATCTTGAATGCCTTCTTAGAGTGGCCAGTGACCAAAGGTTCCTTTGCTAGCCATGGGAACTTAGCACACACGTCAGAAGCATCTCATGAGAGAGCGACGCAGAACCTTTGCTTAGCTGAAGAACAGAGTGCCTTGCCAGCAGCGTCCATCATTTTCCCAGCCTGAGTCGTGTCCCGTTCTGCTTGAAACTTTAAAAAGAGCCCCAGTTCATTTTCTTCCTCTGATATAACTAGAGAAAAAAATGACAGTTTAGTTCATTGTTTCAGTTCATCATTTGCTTAAAACATATAACATGCAGGAGACATAACTCTACAGGTAAAGGTGCTGTCCACCAAGCCTGACAACTTGAGTTCAATCCTTGGGACCCACATGTGGAAGGAGAGAACTGACCCCTACAGGTTGTCCTGTGACCTCCACAGATGTGCTATGGCACTGGGGCGTATGTACTCACACACACCCGTACAAGCAGCATATGTGCATGCATGCATGCACACGAGCGCGCGCGCGCACGCGCACACACACACACACACACACACTCTCTCTCTCTCTCTCTCTCACACACACACACACACACACACACACACTCTCTCTCTCTCTCTCTCTCACACTCACACACACACACACACACACACACACACACACCAATGTACTGAAACTCTCACAATAACTCCATTCTAGAATTGCATGGGGAAGAACATTTTTAACATGTGAGCCTGTGCCCGCTAGCTTTGCCAGTCTGGAATACACTGTTTGCAAGCTCTCCAGTGGTTTAGATGCTGGGTCAGCAGACCTTCCTTCTGGAAAACTGACTAATAACAAACAAACCCACAAAGAGTCATTTTCTAAGGTACAGACCAGACTGCATGATAATTGCTTTTTTTATATAAAGTATTTGTTTCTTATTTATAATTGCTGAATTATTCATGACTCCCACTCTGGCTTTGGTTCCCAATGCTCCCTATTCCAGACCCACAGACATCTACAGTCCTGCTGTAGAAACTGTAAAAATCGTCCCCTGGACCATGTGGACCATGAAGAGTGGTCCAGAGTGTGAGAAGAAACTGAGGAAAAACAGAGAGACTTTGACTAATTTGACTACTTTCATATCTGTCATAGCTAACAACAACAACAAAACCAGTAGGGCTTGGCTAAGAGTCAGAATACGTGTTCTGCACATGTAAGGCATTATGTACACACAGATATAAGCTTAGGTTTTGTATGGTGTTTGTTTGTTTGTGGTTTGTTTTTGTTTTCCAGTCAGGGCTTCTCTCTGTGCAGTCCTGGCTGTCCTGGAACTCATTCTATAGACCAGGCTGGCCTCCAACTCACAGAGATCCACCTGCCTCTGCCTCCTGAGTGCTGGGATTAAAGGTGTGAACCACTTAAACGTAGCCTGGAACTCATTCTTATACTTTACAAACATGTCAGACTAGAAGTGAACCACAAAGCAAAATACTGCTCCTTTACCACAGAGTCTTAGAAACACCAATCTTGTTCCTACCTGGCAACTTCTAAACCACTTTCAAGTGGATAAGGAGGAAAAGTCCATAAGTGCTCCACCTGAGTTAAATAGAGGGAACATGAAATGAGAAGTGTTATGCCTTCTTTCACCTTAGCCACAGAGAAAAACCTGAGGCTGAAAACTGAACGTTTTCCCTGTGCTCAAGATAAGGAGGTAAGGACGTGTTGCATCTTCTGAAGTGAAATTCTGGGTTTCCCTGGGTCTTGCAGTGACTAACTGTTGATATCACAGCAACCAAAAATATATACAATGTTTCTGTGAAGAGAATTAAGGGACAGCTGGACAGACAGACTGGTGTGGGCAACATGGTAATAGCCACAGTTAAGAAAAGCAAACTAGACCTAGGACAAAGGTCCATCCAGCAGTAGTAACTTGACAATGAAAATCATAGGGAAGAAAAGATGGGGCATGTCTTTAGTTTGAAGACAATGCAAGGGTCATAGTAAACAATACAGATGGCTCAGCAGGTAGTGGCACTTGCCACCAAGCCTGATGACCTGAGTTTAATCCCGAGTCCACATGATAGAAAGAATTGGCTCCTGCAAGTTGTCCTCTGACCTCATGCCCTTACGTGTGCATGCCCTGACCTCAAGTAAAAGTAATTAGTAAGTAATAAAAATGTAAAAGAAGAGCATATTCTAGGTGTGAAAAGAATCAACAGATAAAATATATAGAATGCTGAATATTGTAAGAGCAGTTATAAAGGAGAGGGAGTTTGAATTTAGATATGGGAGTCAATGGAAAGCCCCATCAAAAAGACGGCCTTTGACTACAAATCTAAGGAAAGTTAGGGAGCATATGATGTAAATATGCTTGTTGTCAAAGAGATCAGCACAATTCAAAGAAAGGGTTTTAGGATATGAGACCAGAGAGGTAGCCACATCCAGTAAACCACTATAACTGAAGTAGAGAAAGAAATTCAAAGGCTAAGTTCCAACCTGAAGAGGTCAGGGACAGAACCCAAGAAGGAATGAAGTTGAAGAGGAAAACCAAAAGGGGTTGGGCATGTGGAAGCAGAATAAAGGAGGTAATCAGTGGTGGGGGTGAGATGCTTGGAGGAGGAGAAGTGATACACTGAATATAAGTAAAGCAGAAGGAAAAGAGCCTGCTGTGGTGAGATGTTGTTTATGATTTATTAAAGCTTGCCTGAGAATTCAGAAAGCAAAGTCAGCCACAAGCCACAGAAGCCAGGCACACACCTTTAATCCCAGCAGCCAGAAGCTAGGAGGTGGTGGTACTCACCTTTAATCTTAGCCACCCAGATCTGCACATGAGTGAATCAGTCTAAAAGAATTGTAGCTCACACCTTTAATCCCAACATTAGGGAAGTATATAAGGCAGAAGCAAGTCTCAGAGGGGCATTTGTTCTCCAGCCACCCTGAGGAGAAGCAGCAGTTTGAGACTTGGTGAAGAGCTCATTTGTGGATCAGCCCTTTCAGCCTGAGCTAGAGGTGGGAGGCTGGTGGGCAGCTGCTTTGCTTTTTTGATATTCAGCTTGAAGCTTGAACCACAATATCAGTCTCTGGGTCTTTTATTTTTCGTGTTACAGCCTGGTGTGGTGGGATATACCTGTAATTTGGGAAGGTGGAAACAGGAGGATTCTGGGCCAGTTTGGGCTACATAGTGAGACTGTCTCAAAAAAAAAAAAAAAATGCCAGGTGGTGGCAAAGCCACGCCTTTACTCCCAGCACTCAGGAGGCAGAGGCAGAGGCAGAGGCAGAGTGAGTTCAAGGCCAGCCTGGTATACAAAGCATGCTCCAGGACTGGCTCCAAAGCTACCAAGAGAAACCCTGTCTTGAAAAACCAAAAGGAAAAAAAAAGGAGGAATAAAGTCCCTACATAGCATATAAACAACCTTATCAAATGTTTCTGTGAGAAGAAAAAAGGAATGGGGTACTGACTAAAATCTGCAGGGGTAAAGAGGTTTTGAATGATGGACGAAAACAATGCTCACCAAGAAAGTAAAACCGAGAGTAGAAAGTGATTCTGTGTCAAGGGATTTAATGAACTAAAGAAGGAGAGGATGGACACTATGGGCTTTGAGAGCAGATCACTATAAATGTTCATATTTCACAATTAAAACCCATGAAATAATTGATAAACAACTGCTTTCCTATGAAATGACTCATTTTCAAAAATGCATGCCAATATTTATTTTAAATTATCAGATAGATTCCATGTCATACCATTGAGTCTTAGCTGATATTTCTCAACTATCTTCAGAAGTTCATTGCATGTCTCCTGGATGGAGTGAAAAACCTTGAAAAATAAATTTTATTAGGACAATTTAAAGAACAATAAACAAATACAACTTTTAGCACTTCAAAACCAGAACATTTACATAAAATATCTGTCCATTTGGTATATTTCATAAATTATGTCTATTTTGCTTGGCTATAATGTATATTTCTTAAACATATATTAATCATGTCTATTTTATAAATATGAACTTTTTTATTGACTGGGATGTACTTCAGGATTACTTTTGTTACTGATATAGAAAGCAAATTGGGACTGGAGAGATGGCTTAGTGGTTAAGAGCACTGACTGCTCTTCCAGAGGACCCAAGTTCAATCCCAGCACCCACATGGCAGCTCACAACTGTCTGTAATTCCACAGTCTGACAGCCTCACATAGACATACATTTAGTCGAAACACCAATGCACATAAAATAAAAATAAATAATTTTTTTAAAGTGCATTTAAATTTTCCCTGTGAATACATACTGAAGAAAGAGAGATAAATGTGTGGAATTTATCTACAGAATTTGGTCTTCCTTCAGCTCCCAATTATTGAAATACTAGAAAGTTATATCCAATATAAAATGCATTAAATAATGCCAACAACACAGAAAAAGAGAGCACTTTAGAAACAGCTGATGCTCAACATGGCTTTTTCTAATATTCATAAAGCAAAACAGCCCAATAAGTTTACTATAAAAAATAATGTATCAGGCTGGGTGGTGGTGGCAGATGCCTTTAATCCCAGTACTAGGGAGGCAGAGGCAGGCCAATCTCTGTGAATTCAAGGCCAGCTTAGTCTACAAAGCAAGTTCCAGAAGAGCCAGGGATGTGTACAGAGAAACCTTGTCTTGGGAAAAAAAAAAGACAGCAACAACAAAAAATGTATTGGACAGGTGTAAGTGGTGCAGCCTGTAACACCAGTAAGGGAGATAATACCAGGGAGTTCAAAGCCCCAACCCTGTGGTCATACATAGTCACCACATGTAAAGCTGTATGTGAAAGCTTATAATAACTTTATCTTTTGTTATGTTTTGTTAGAGACAGGATGACCACAATGTGGTATAAAATTCAAAAGTGGCAAGAATTCTGAAAGTTTTCACCATAAAGAAGCAACAAATGTTTGAGATGTGTTTAACGTATTTTAAACATTTATATATCATATATATGTATAAATATATATATCAAGATATATATATATATAGAAGGTTTCCTGGTATCCAACTTTTAAGAAAGATTTATTTATCTTTATGTGCTTTGTCTGAAGATATGTCTCTTACCATGTGCAGGCCTGGTGTACACACAGAACAGAAGAGGGTGTCTGATCCCCCAAGACTGGAATTACAGACAGTTGTGGGCGCTGGGAATCAAACCTGGGTCCTCTGAAAGAGCAGCCAGTGCTCTTAACTGATGAGCTATCTCTCTAGCCCCCATTCCATTAACATGTACAGCTGTTGTGTTTTTATGTATCAGTTAAAATGAGTTATGATTAAAAAGAAGATTTATAACATCAAATATAAACTGCTTTTGAAAAAGAGGGATGGAGATATATATGGCTTAGTGGATGAACAGTTTGCCTAGCATGAAGGAAGGCATGGGTTCAATCTAGAACTGCCATAAGGAAAAAGAAAATTATTTGAAAATAAATAATTAAACTTACAAAAACTTGCCGGGTGTTGGTGGCACACACCTTTAATCCCAGCACTCGGGAGACAGAGGCAGGCAGATCTCTGTGAGTTCGAGGCCAGCCTGGTCTACAGAGTGAGTTCCAGGACAGGCTCCAAAACAATACAAAGAAACAGTGTCTTGAAAAACAAAAAACAAAAATTGCAAAAACTTGCTTTTGGGTTATTTTTGTTTGGCATTTCCCATCCTTGCTACTATGGTTAACCAGCAACAGAAAATTAAGAAGATATCCAGTGGACTCCATCTTCAAAGTTAAACATTCAAGATGAAGGTGCATGCCTGATCTAATCTTCACACATCAACTTTCCCATGTGCATTTCAGTGATCTATCTCCTTTTACACAGTCTTACGCTGAAGAAATTCTATAACTGTTCAAAGGACCCTGACATTTCTAGATTGAGGCAACACCCTCTGACTATTAAGTTCTTAGCATCACCAGGGAGCTTTACCGTTGATGCTTAATTAAACCTGGGGGATATTTATAATAAGCGCTAAAGATCTTGTGGAGAAATAATAAATTTCTCAGGTAACTTTAGATGTGCTTGAATTAGATTTGGTATCTGGTTATGGCCATTTAAAACTCAATTTTCAGGGGCTGAAGAGATGGCTCAGCAGTTAAAACAAACACCACTGCTCTCCCAGAGGACGTGAGTTCAATTCCCAGCACCATATGTAACTCCAGTTCCAAGGGATATGATGTCCTCCTCTGGCTTTCTCAGGCATGGTACACATGTGGTACAAAGACATACATGAAAGCAAAACATTTATACATGTAAATAAAAAATAAAAATCAGTTTTCAATGCATATGGAAGATTACAAAATAATACAAAAAAGATGGCTCTACCAAGATGAGGTGATTATAATAGTTTTCCATGGGTCTGGCAAGACTTACTACTATTGCATGTTAATTTTACCATGAATTTTATTTTTTACTTTTTATGTTTTTTCTTTCTTTTTTGAGCTGGGGTCTTATGTAGCCCAGGATGGCCTTGAGCTCACTAGGAAGCTGGGGATGGTCTTAAGCTCCTCATCCTCCTGTCTCTAACTCGAAAGTACTAGAATTATATATGAGCCATTGAGTCAACCATTTTTTCAGTCTTTCAGAAAAATAGTACAAATATGGGAGAAAGAACATGGCTGATTCCAAACATATGTATAATGCTCAACATTACAATAAAATGTTATAGAGTACCGAACCATATAAAACAACACAGAAATACTTCCTTCTGTGGGAATTGTGTAAACAGTGGCAAGTTCTCTTTGTGATGAAACATACAGATTACAACTAGTGCAGTTTGCTCATGTCTCCACATGAATTAATCTACAAAACAAATAAATAGTAAATGTTTCTTTTTTTTCTGGTTTTGCAAGACAAGGTTTCTCTGTGTAGCCCTGACTGTCATGGAACTCACTCTGTAGACAAGGCTGGCTTTGAACTCACAGACCCACCTGCCTCTGTCTCTAAGTTCTGGGATTAAATTGGTGTGCCACCACGCCCGGCAAGAATTATTTAACTGTACCTACAGTTTTTAGAATCCCAACATAACATGAGGGTTTAAGCAAGAGAGAACTCCTACTTGAGAATATTTCTAGGAGTTACCTTAAATTGGATAGCCCTGGCTATCTTGGAGCTCACTCTGTAGACCAGACTGGCCTTGAACTCAGAAATCTGCCAGCCTCTGGCTCCTGAGTGCTGGGACTAAAAGCATGTGCTGGCATGCCCAGGCTAATTGTGAATGACCAGAAAGCTATGCATCCTGTAGCCAAGCTGCCTTCACCCTGTGCTTCATGTCAACTTGACACAACTAGAGCCATCTGGGACGAAGGAGCCTCAGTTGAGAAAATGCCCCCATAAGATCAGGTGGTAGGCAAAGTCTGTAGGGTATTTTCTTAATTAGTGATTGATGGGGGAGGACCTGGCCCATTGAGGGTGGAGCCATCCCCTGGCTGAATTCTTTAAGGAAGCAGGCTGAGCAAGCCATGGAGATCTAGCCAGTAAGCAGAACTCACCATGGCCTCTACATCAGCTCTGCCCACCATGTTGGGGTTCCTGTCCTGACTTCCTTAAATGATAGACTACAGATGTGGAAGAGGATGTGGAAGTATAAGTCAAATGAACCCTTTCCTCCACAACTTGCTTTTGGTCGTGGTGTTGCATTGCAACAATAGCAGCCTTAGTTAAGTCACTCCTTAAACTCTTGGGGTGGAAGTTTGCTGCAGTCCCCCTTGGAGTCTCAAATAATAACCAGTTCCACAAAACACAGTTTTCACATTTACCTCAAGTTTAGCATCCAGCTCTGCATCAGACGCCACCACATGCTCATCCTCCTTTTTTCCCGTTGCTTTGATAAAGACCTGTTTAGTTTTCCAGTATTTCTTTTGCATTCTGCTCACTACTGACTGGTTATCTTCCGGTTTGAGTTGCCCAAAGGAATCCATGGAGTAACTAAAACACACTAAAATTAAGCTTCTTTTGAAAACTTACCAGTAGGTTAAAAAAATCACATTTAAAAACTTATGAATAATAAATATCTACCTAGCTTATCAGTATTTAATTGACAAACCAAAAATGATATTAAATATAAACATGATAATGCTTGCTATATATGATCTACATTTATTTTATGATTACAACTAGAGAAATAATATTATTTATACTTTGGTTATGAAGCAAAGGTATTAAAATTTTATGATACTATAGTTGTAGCTGGAAATGATTCTACTTGATCAATATCTACTAGTAAACATGTCTTAGTTTATTAATCCCTCTAATTTTTATTTTGCAGTATACTGAAAAATAAAATTTGTACACATATATTTACATTTTACTATACGGCTTTACAAAAATGGTTACAAAAATCTGTTATATTAGATGAATATAATTGAATAAACATTTACAGATATGTAAAGATTTGAATAACATGCACTTCTCTAAATAGTAAAGAAATACTTTAATATCCAATGAAACAACAGAAATGAAAACTTTAGATATAGAGGAGCCATGCTATGAAAGAAAGGGACAGACACTGTAAGCCATCATAATAAACTTGATGTGTAAGTGATTGCTTTAACAGAGTTGACAGAATTACATGTAAGGAAATCAAAGGTGAAAAGCATTTTGTAAAGATGTTTAAAAAGAGACAATAATAATTCTTTGATACTAAAGCCCAAATTATTCCTGTTAACTGGGGAAACAGAACAGAGATGTAGGTGACTCATTCATGGTATTCTTGTTGGCAAAGAAAACAGGCTCATTTCCCTTTTATTTTGAAACACTTACCAATTAAGTTAAAAGTAGGCTAATTTCTAAACTCCCGGAGCCAACAAGAACAAGAAAACCTTCCAAGACACAAGAGCCAGAGAGAAAAGAGGAAGGTGGCCTGACAAATAATAGACACCGATATGCTAGAGTATGATTGCATTATTTAAAATCATACACAAAATTTCTTTTAAGCACTAAAAATCCAAAGCCATTAAAAAGGCTAGAATTCAGCGTTTGCCTGGCATGTATGAGGCCCTGGGTTTAATCCCCACTAATCAAAAAATCAAACCAAATTAAAAAATAAAATCCTGAAAAAACAAAAAACCACAATCCAACCCAGTCACATACAATGTGACATTCACCTAAAACACAATGACATAAAAGGCATAAAAATAAAGAGATGTCATAAGCAGATCTTACTAATATATACTAAGAGTTAACATGTGGTACATATAAATAAATCTATAGAAAAATATTGAAACATCTGAGATTCCAGCTACAAAGTTCAAGTAGTCCAATTTAAAAATCAAGTACGTGAGGGCAGGAAAAAAAATGGCTCAGAGGACCCAGGCTCAATTCCAGCTCACAGCCATAAATAACTCCAGTCCCAGAGGAGTCAATGTCCTCTTCTGGTCTCTGCTGGCACTAGGCATGAACATGGTACACAGACATACATGCAGCCCAAGCACCCATACAAATCTTAAAAAAAAAAAAAATTGAGTAAAGGGTATACAGAGTTTTGCCAGTGGCTAAGAGCTCTGGATGCTCTTCCACAGGATTCAGGTTTGATTCCAGCACCCATATGGCGGCCCATCACTGTCTGTCTATACCTCCAGTCCCAGGCCCTCTTCTGACTTCCACAGGCACCAGACATGCATATGGTACACATAGAAACATGCAGACATAATGGTGCACATAATACATGCAGGCAAAACATTTACACATAAAATAAAATGTAAATTTACACATAAATTTTAAAAAATTGACTAGATATCCAGTGTGGTATACACCTATAATCCCAGTACTTGGGAGGCTGAGGGAAAAGGATAAAAGTTCAAGGCAGCCTAGGATATATAGTGAGACTCTGCCTAAATGAATAAATAAAATAAAATTGGCTGAAATGGCTTAGGAACACAGTGAATACAACAGAAGTGAAATCAAAATGAAACCATATAAGTGATCAGATTTAAGGAGAGACAAGTAGATAATGGGGGAGATAAAAGCTATTAAAAAAAGACAAGACAGAGTGGGACAGAAAACAGAAATATGATATCCCTCAAACTTGTAGATAACAGTCATGATGTATTAATACAATGAGTTGGATAAATCTAGGCAGGATAACACAAATAAAATCATAAGTAGGTACATCATAGACAAACTATTTAAATCCAAAGACAAAAAAATTCCTTGAAAGCAGAGAAAAATTATTATTATTACTATTTTGAGACAGAGATTTTCACTCTATCTCAGGCTGGTCTGGAACTCACTAACTCACAATATTGACCAAGTTGGCCTTGAACTCATGGTGATGCTCCTGCCTCAACACCCTGAGTGTTGAGATAACAGACAGAAACCACTGGGCATGGATAAGAAAACCTATCTTGAAAAACACAATGAAACAAAAATGCAGATGAGAGGTAAGTTTTCAAATAAAATAGCAAAATTAAGTAAAATAGAAAGATATACTTAAGATACTTGAAGGAAAAAACCATGTTGACACATAATTCTACATTAATGAAACCACCCATTAAAAATAAGCCATTGTGGGAGTGTATACCTGAAATCAAGGGACTAAAGAGGTTGAGGCAGGAATACCATAAGTTCCAGGTTATCCTGGGCTACACAGTGATATAACCTGGGCTCACTACTTTTATCTTAGAATAAGAAAAAAGTAAAGATACTAACAAAAGTGAAGATGTTCTCAGATATAAACTCAGAGAACTCGTGGTTAAGGCACCTTCACAAATGTGAACATCTGGCTAGGCTAGGATCAGTGGCAGCATTTGCCCATCATTCCTGTTGCTATGAGCTCAATCCCCAACACTGCTAACAGAGGAGCACACACCATGGCACTGGCACTGGCACTTCTGAACGGTGATCACAAGGCTATAACTAACTTTGTCATCAGAAAAGTACGGTAGTCATGAAATATCTTAGGGTAGAGTTCAATTTCAGAATTCACATCCACCTCCTGAAACTTGTTCCCACACTATGGTGCATGCAAGCACACATGCAATAAATGTAAAAATGTAAATTGCTGATAGTTCAGCCAGATGGTGGTGATGCACTCCTTTAATCCTAGCACTTGGGAGACAGAGGCAGGCGGATCTCTGTGTCGATGCCAGCCTGCCCTACAACGTGAGTTCCAAGACAGCCAGGGCTGTTATACAGAGAAACCCTGCTGCAGAAAACAAACAAATACAAAACAAAAATGCTGAAGTTTATCAATAATTGATGGAAAAGAAAATGTCATATTTACATAATAGATTATTATTCAGCCATAAAAAGGATTCCTGTAATTGGTGACAATGTGTCTGAACATGCTAAGTGGAGTAAGCAGACACAGAAGACAAAAACAGCAGCAGCACAGCACCTTTTGACCTGCTTCTGCCGCCATACCGCCTTCTCTTCCTCCTCCTCTGCGTTTGAAGGATCCTTGTGATACATCTAACCTCCCCAGACAACCCATTTCTACCACGTGATCCCTGTCAACCTGGGAAGCCTCTTTTGCCATGGAAGTTCATACCTCTTTGGAGTCCAATACCCTGACGACTATATGTTACCATGAGTTTTGTCCTGGAAGATAAACTTTCTATGTCTCTGGATGTCTTAAAATGGCTTTGTTCTGATTTCACACAGGAGAACTGGAGAGGGGTTTTTCTGTTTGTGATACTGGTCTCTGAGGCCAGTTTTCATGGGAGTCTGGTTATTGTTCCTGAAGGGCAGTCTATGTTTTCTAGAGGCTCTCCGGGTCTACCCTTTATTTCACAGTGATAGCCATAGATCTCCTCTGAGGCAAATTCAAATTACACTTCATCACGTTCATGTTATTTCTTAGCCACAGCTGGGAGGTGGTGCAGAGATGGGTCATCTGGACATCTGACTAGCATGGGAGTGCTGCCATCACTTGGAACCTTTTCATTACATGAATTCTGGGGCCTGTGTTCCCCAGGGTCTGGTGGGGGGAAGCTAGTGTATCCACTCTGTATGCCATGGCATTTACAGCAGGGCCAGTCTGTTCCAAGAGCAATCATCTTGTGATCACGCATCCAAAGGTAGTGGGTCATTTCTCCTCTGGTGACTTTTTCTTTTACATTATTTATTGTGAATGGTGTGTGTGTGTGTGTGTGTGTGTGTGTGTGTGTGTGTGTGTGTGTGTGAGCACTGTGCCCCGACACACATGGAAGTCAGAAGACAACTTACAGAAGTTGGTTCTCTTTTCCTGCGTTTCCCAGGAAGTAATTTAGGTTTTTAGACTTGGAGTCATACCCTAACCTGCTGAGCCATCTTGCTGGCCCCAGACGCCTCTTAATTTCTTTAGAGAACAGCCATTTTCCCCTTGCCTGGGTGGAAACCCAGCTATTCTTTTGGCTTGCTATTGGGAGTGTGTAGTTAAGTGATATCAATTATCTATTATTGTTAGCCCATGGACCTCCTGGGGAAACAGACTACCTTATTTATAACAGCTTGTTTTGTGAATATTCTACCCTTTCTCTGTAACACGAAAAATAAAAGACCCAGAGACAGATATTGAGATTCAAGCTTTAAATAGAAGATCAGAGGAGCAAAGCCAGTAGATCTTACCTCTACCAAGCTGAAATGGCAATCACGTCTCCACAAATCCTCAGAAGCCAGAGCTCTCAGTTCCTGTCTCTGCTTCCTTATAGTCCTTTCTCTGCCCAGCCATATCCTCCTGTCTCCACCTCCCTAGTGTTGGAATTAAAGGTGTGAGCTCTGTTACTCTTCACTCTTGTGTGGGCCAGAGTGGCCTTGAACTCAGAGACATTCATCTGCCTGTCTCCTGAGTCCCGGAATTAAAGGTATGTGCCACTGCCTAGCTTCTGCTGGCTTTGCTTTCTGATACTTCAGGCAATCTTTATTAAATCATAACCAGGTGTTGGAGGATCACACCTTTAATCCCAGAACTCAGGAGGCAGAGGCAGAGGCAGGCAGATCTCTAAGTTTGAGGCCAGCCTGGTCTACAGAGTGAGTTCCAGGGCAACCTCCAAAGCAATATATAGACACCCTGTCTCGAGGAAAAAAAAAAAAAACATAAACAATATATCACCACACGTCTCTATTTTGCTTTAATCATTATTTTGTCTTCTAGTAATACTAAAATCTCAGGGCTGGAGAAATGGCTCAGCGGTTAAGAGCACTGGCTGTTCTTCCGAGGTCCTGAGTTCAATTCCCAGCAATCATATGGTGGCTCACAGTTATCTGTAATGAGACCTGATGCCCTCTTCTGGCATAATGGTGTACATGCATGTAGAGCACTCATATAAATAAATAAATAAATAAATAAATAAATAAATAAATAAATAAAACAAAAAACTAAAATCCCTCATGTATCCAAAGTGCCTTCTGGTTTTGTGGCTTAAGCACACAAGTGCTGTTTGTTTTGCTTTGGTAATGTGCTTGCCTTAGTAGCATCCCAAAGACTAGTAAGGAAAAATGGGAGGCAAAAATGTATTAATCCTGCCAGTTTAAAATAGAAAGTTTATTATTTATGTTTTGGCAGTTATTTGTCCTGTCCACCCTCCTTCTGGAATGCATGTGTTACATGTAGGAGCCCTTCAGGTGCAAATCCTCCAAGCCTGATCTCAGATGCTTTGCTTGTCCTTGGTTCCCTGTCACATGACCTCTTCATATAGCTCCTTATGACAAAGCCCACATAAATTCTGGGAATGGTGGTCCAAACCTGTAACCCCAGATCTGGGGTTGGGATAGGGCAGGCTAATCCCAATGATATACTGGCCAGCTAGTCTAGTCAGAATGACAAGCTCCAGATTTAGTGAGAGACCCTGTTGTGAAAAGGTGGGAAATGGTACAGGAAGACACTCACAGCTGGCCTCTGGCTTCTACGTATAAACATACAGGCAAGTAAGCACACACACGTGAATACACATATAAACATACAGGCAAGTAAGCACACACACATGTGAATAACACACACACACTCTCAAACAGTAAGGACAAAAGAACTTTAAAAGTTCAATGAATACATAAATTATATTCCACCAATAGTTAAAAAAAATGCAAATAACCCAGATGGAAAGAGGTGGAATTCCAAGCCAGACAAAGATATAATGCAATCCTGTCTCAGAGAGGGAGAGTGGGAGAGAGAGAAAGAGAGAGAGACAGAGAGAGAGAGACAGAGAGAGAGAGATGTCAGATGAGCAATGATTTAAAAGTATCAAAGATTCTGGGAAAAATGAAATAATAGGTGTTATGTTTATATAACTCTTTTCTCTAAAATTAAAATATCCCATATGCAAATATCCATATTTTAAAGCTCTGATGTCACATGTAAAATACAAATCAGATTTAAGGAGACACTCAAATCTGCATGTCCTCTAATCTCATGTAGATCCATTTCTGGCAACTTGAGTGAGCTCTGGAAAGCTCACCTCTAACTTGATGAATCCTTGAAGTCATAGCCAATCACTGGACTGTAGTGATGTATTATTTACGATTTATTAAAGCTTGCCTAAGGATTCAGAAAGCAAAGTCAGCCACAAACCATAGAAGCCAGGCACACACCTTTAATCCTAGGACTCAGGATTAAGAGATAGATAGATGGTTCTCTCTGAGTTCAAGACCACCCAGGGATACATGAGATTGAATCAGTCTAAAAGAGAATTATAGCTCACACCTTTAATCCAGGACTAGAGGGGTATAAAAGACAGGAGCAAGAATTCAGGAGGAGGCATTCATTCTCCGGCCTTGCTGAGGAGAGGTTACAGTCTGAGGCTTGGTGAGAGCTCTTGGAGACAGGATCAGCTCATTCAGCCTGAGGTAGAGAGCTAGTGGCCGACTGCTTTGCTTCCCTCATCTCCAGGATGAACCCCAGTATCAGTCTCTGGGTCATTTATTATTTTTGAGTTACACAGGACAGCTTGAAGTCACAGCAGCCACAGTCACACAGGACAGTAGAACAGATAACTGAAAAAATGGGAACACATTTATGGTGGGAATAGTTCTTTTTTGTTTGTTTTTGTTTTGTTTTGTTTTGTTTTTCGAGACGGGTTTCTTTGGAGGTTGTCCTGGAACTCACTCTGTAGATCAGACTGGCCTCAAACTCACAGAGATCCACCTTGGAGTAAAGTCAAAGTGTCACTCCAGAGCACACGCATAAATGAGAAAGCAAACCAGAATTTCAGAATGAGATTTAGAGGTTTGAACAGCTAAAGTATTTCTTAACCAAAACCTAATTCAGAACAAGGATCCTAATCCAGAAGAGGGCCTTCCCTATCTCTCTTCATAAGGTTACAGAGGGGCAGGGAAGCTGCAGGGCAAGGTTCGTAGTTGAGAGAGTCTGAACCAGGAGATGGTTTTATTCAGGTGTGGAGCTTTTCAGTTTTGTTTCATTTTTGAGACAGGGTCTTGTTTTCTCCATTAGGCTGGCCTGGAATTCAATGTTCTCTGGCCTCAGTCTACTGAATGCTGGGAATGCAGGCATACATTATCACATCCAACTCTGACTCATGAGGGACAAAGTATAGAGATTCATGCCATCTCTAGAACACTGTCCTGATTAGTTTCAACTGTCAACTTGATACAAGACCGAGTCACCTGGAAAGAGGGAACCTCAGTTGCTTCCATCAGCTGGGTATTATGGCATATACCTTCAACCCCAGCACTCACAAAGCAGAGGCAGGCAGATTTCTGAGTTTGAGACCAGCCTAGTCTGCAAAGCAAGTTCCAGGGCAGTCAGGGCCATGAAAAGAGTCAGTTTCAAAAAACCACCCCCTACCATACGCATACAAGAGTAATCATCTACCATCTCTGGTTTTCCCAATCTCTCTACTTCCTCTCCTGTGGTGATCCCAGAGCTGAAGTGGTGGGTAACGAGAAGGAAACAGCAGGACAGTAGCACAAGTGACCTCACAGAGGTTGTGACAGCACAGCTCTCATGAATGGACACTCACCCAAGAGCAAATAGGCAGCACAAACTGGAACTGATGGGTTCTGGGGAGGCCCACTGCTCAGGAAGGATCCTTTCAAAATATTACTGCTAAGATGGACACAGTAGTATGTTCCTGTGGTCCCAGGTGCTGAGGCAGGAAGATTGTTTGAGCCTGAGCAACAATGACATACCATATTATATTTGTATTTTAAAAACCTTTCTTTACTGGTCATTGGCAACACACCTAGTCACCCAAGAGCTCTGATGGAGATTTTTACCATGAAATTAAATGCTGTTTTCCTGTCTGGGAACATTAATCCATTCTGCACTCAATAGATCAAGGTGTTATCTCAACTTTTATTAAACACTATTATTAAAGAAATGCACTTTACAGATGTGTAGCATACATGACCATGACAGACCAGGAAATTACATATGAACCTTTCCAAAGAAGTTAGCACGTTAGATGTTTTGATTCATGATTTATGAGAAGAGATCAAAGTATCAGTATTAAGTTGTCTGTAAGAAGTTGGTCTGGGGCCTGGAGAGGTGGCTCAGTGGTTAAGAGCACTGGTTGCCCTTCCAGAGGTCCTGAGTTCAATTCCCAGCACCCACATGGTGGCTCACAAACATCTGTAATGAGATCTGGTGCCCTCTTCTGGCCTGCAGGCATACATGCAGGCAGAACACTGTGCATAATAAATCTTTTAAAAAAAATTTGATCTGAACTCTCAGAGGACTTTGAGGGGCTCAAGACTTCGATAGAGGAGTAACTGCAGATGTGGTAGAAGTAACAAGAAAGCTAGAACTGGATGTGGAGCCTGAGGACTAGCTGAATTACTGCACCATCAGGACAAAACAATGGATGAGGAATGGCTTCTTGAGATACAATCTATACAATGAACATCGATGAAATGACAACAAAAGATTTATATTATTCCATAAGCTTAGCTGATTCAGGATTTGAAGGGAGCAGCTCCATTTTGGAAGAAGTGCTATGCTACCAAAGCAATTTTAGTATTTCAAGCTACAGACAAATCATACCTAAAAGAAAGAGATTAATTGGCACAGCAAAGCAACCATCACTGATATTAAAAAACAAAATAAAACAAAATTGTTATAGCCACTCCAACTTTAACTCATCAAACCTTCTCTCAGGAAAACAGACAAGCTGGATGAAGGCTCAGATGTAGCATGGTTTAGCTATAATAATGTATTTTAAAATAAAAAATGTGTGTCTTTTTTAGACTTAAGCTATGGCACATTTAATTAATACAACTTTTAGATGAGCTTGGGGTGTATGTGCCTGTAAACCTGGCATTTAAGGAGGTGGAGGCAGGAAGATCAAAAGTTCCTTTCTTGAAAACAACAACAAAATAAACCTTTTCTTTTCTTTGTTTTTTTGTTTTGTTTTTTTGAGACAGGGTTTCTTTGTGGAACAGTCCTGGCTATCCTGGAACTCACTCTGTAGACGAGGCTGCCTCTGCCTCTTTTTTTTTTAAGATTTTATTTATTTAAATATTATGTATACAGTTATCTGCATGAATGCTTGCACATTAGAAGAGGGCACCAGATCTCATAATGGATGGCTGTGAGCCACCATGTGGTTGCTGGGAATTAAACTCAGGACCTCTGGAAGAGCAGTCAGTGCTCTTAACCTCTGAGCCATCTCTCCAGCCCCCTGGCTCTGCCTCTTAAGTGCTGGGATTAAAGATGTGTGCCACCACTGCCCAGCAACAAAATAATTTTATATGTACTGGGGAAACTATAAGAATTATATAGTTCACTTTATTGTGGTGTCTTGGAACTGAATCAACAATATATCCAAGTTATGCTTGAGTTGGGGCTGTAGCCTCAAATTACAGTTCCAAACATTATCAGCTAGAATGCTGAAATCCTGAAATGCCATGTCCCCAAGGTACACGACTGGAAATAATAACATAAAAAACATACTTGGAGTGGGCACATAGCTGGGTATGCTTGGAGGCCCTACCTCCATTCCCCAGCACCATAAACAAGATTTTTAAAAATTAGAAAAAAATAGCCAACTGGAAATAAAGGGAAAAATTTAAGTGGTAAGTGAAAAAAGGCCTGGGCTGGAGAGATGGCTCAGAGGTTAAGAGCACTGGCTGCTCATCCAGAGGTCCTGAGTTCAATTCCCAGCAACTACATGATGGCTCACAACCATCTGTAATGAGATCTGATACCCTCTTCTGGCATGTAGGCATACATTCAGACAGAGCACTGATACCAAAATATATATATATATATATATATATATATATATATATATATATGTATATTGACAAAAGGGAAAAATGATATTTAACAAAAGCCACTTCAAGTAAGGAAAATTTCGAGTTTTAGAAATGCTTTAAAGTTCTTTACGCATCCCATCTGTTGTTAAAGAATATAAAACTAACAAAAATTTAAAGAAGACATAGTGAGTGTTAAAATAAAAAAGAAAAGATCTTACTCAACATACTTAAAAACCAGTTTGTTAATATAAAATAATATAGCATATTATGTTTCACATTTTGATATTTGCTCTTACTTTAGTCATTTAAATAAGTTTAATTTTTATGATAAACATCTACAATGAAAACGTCTTCCTGCTTTTCCTTCAGTCTCATGTTTACAGTTTTGCCTTTTGAACCGGGATCCCAGCACTCTTCTAACTAGGATTATAATGAGTTCCCTAGCAATTAGAACTGCTGGTAATTAGACAGTGCTTTGCCCATAACTGCTTCCATCAGCAACCGTTTTGCATTATTAAAATAAGTACAAAGAGTTCAAAGAAAACCGGGAATGTTATGCGCTGATAGTAAATGTAAGATGATTTTTAAACTTTGGTCATATAAAAATATATACCTACCATTAGGAGATATTTCCTTGGCCAAGAAATGTATAATTGTAACATATTAATATCCCACTGAAGAATGAGGTACCTGTGGCTGCTAATAGTGATTAAAGTACTTCCACTTTACAAAACATCGCTTGAGCCAGAATCAAATCAATCAGTACCTAAATACTTAAAACACAAACCACAGAGAAACAGCTTCTCCCCACAAATTATTTCAGTGACCTGCAGTTGCTAACAGGTTGTATGTTTGTGCATGAAGATCATATGTTACATGAAACACCACCCCCCATCTCCACCCCGCTGGCAAGCCCACAGCCTCACGGGTAGGATGCCAAGCAGGATTGTTTTTCCCCTTCTCCATCTTTCTTAGAGCATCAGGTTTCGGCCGCCAGCATCGTCGCCCAGGTGAGGTCAGTGGTCAGGGACACCTGGTCCGCTTTCCGCTAGCGGAATCTGGGCGGCGAGGCGGGGATCCCCACCCGGGAGAGGAGGCTTTGTGCACCCTGGCGAGGCGAGGCGAGGCGAGGCGTTCACACTTCGCCCTAAGCCACAGCTTTGCTCAGGTTTTGTTTTGACCGTGTCTGTCAGGAAGGCATCCCGTCAGGGAACAGTAATCAAATAAATTAAGCACCATGTACAAAGGCAGGCAGGG